GCGAGAAAAGGGCCAGACCCGGGGGGGGGAGGCTCGCGGTTGCCCGCACTGCCGCCCCCCCACCCCCCAGGGGGAAAAAAAAAAAAAAAACTCTTAAAAAAAAAAAAAAAAAAAAAAAAAAAAAAAAGCATGGTATCACAGTAATTGAGATGATGATCTGGTTTTCAATGGAAAGATTTAAAGAATAATCAGAACTGTCCAAAGATGAAATATGCTCTGTAAGAGGCAGTGAAGTCCTCATCAATAGGTGACCTCCTGATAGGAATTGTATGATATGAATTAACATATTGCATAGATGGTAGACCTTGATGATACTTTAGTCCTTTCAAGTAATCCTTTTATCTCATAATTCTGTCACACTTGTTTTGCATATTAGTACATGTTTCTCTGATCACAAAGTTGAAGGTTATGAAAACTTTTCTGTGTAATTCAGACAAGTGTTCCCCTGACTCGAAATTATCTGTGCATTTGCCTCAATCACGTACTTTGCTTTACCTGGAGAGTATAATATTTCTGTAGTATTTCTGTTTTCATATAGATTTATCTTCATTCATCACAGAATTCTAAATGCCAGTTGCCTACCATTCTAAGTGAATCGTACACAATTGAAACACTTAGGGCAGAAAATAGATTTCACTTCAAGATTCAGTCTAGTCATTTTAAAGTTTTATATATTTCACCACTTTTAAGTGAGTGTTTTGTCAGCCACTCACAGCTGAAACATTTTAAATATATATCAGAGGAATTATAGAAAGTATTAGGAGTTGCAGATAAACTAGTCTTCTAATTAAAGTCTGTTGGTGATTTTCAGAATGAAGCAATGACTGGTTCTCACACTCAGAACCGAGTACTCTCTCGAATCACTCTGGCATTAATGGAGGACACTGGGTAAGACAGCTGTAAGAGTAAGATATGAATTGTTTTTTAATAAACAATTTCATTTAATAAACAATTTCATTTTAATATGAAATTAGTAGTGAGATTATAGCTTAAGAAAATGCTGACATTTCATGCTGAAGCAAAATTTACTTCTTAAGTATTTGAATCTTGTACAGTTAGCTGTCTATTATTTATACCAACTCCATTCATTCATTCATTCATCCATTCAATAAAGTTTGTTTGATTTGAGACGGGTCTTACTCCTGTTGCCCAGGCTGGAGTGCAGCGGCAGTCTGGGCTCACTATATCCTGGACTTCCTGGGCTCAAGCAATCTTCCCACCTCAGCCTCCTGAGTAGCTGGGACTACAGGCATGTGCCACCATGCCTTGCTACTTTTTTTGTATTTTTATTAGAGATGGGGTTTTGTCATGTTACCCAGGTTGTTCACAAACTTCTGGGCTCAAGCATGTCTCCTGCCCTGGCCTCCCAAAGTACTGGGATTCCAGGCATGAGCCACCACGCTGGGCAGAAATACTGTTTTTAAGTGAAATCTTTTATACAACCCCTACATACCAAACAAAATTAAAGCTGCTTTAGTAGAAGCATCATCACTTCTTACTCTTTCTAAGACAGTCTGAGAGAAAATTAGAAAATGGAATCAAATTTGAAAATTAATGGTAGAGGTGCTATTAAAACTGTGAAAATTGTTGACACTACCTCACTGTTGAGGTCTAAGGATTTAAAAATATAGAGGTCATTCTTTTTTTAATTTGTTCGTTTTAAGAGACAAGATCTTCATGGTGTAATCATTGAAATAAGAAACAAAACAAACAAACAGAAAAAGAGACAAGATCTTGCTCTGTTGCCTAGGCTGAAGTGTAGTGGTGTGATCGTAGCTTACTGTAGCCTTGAACTTCTGGACTTAAGCAATCTTCTGCCTCAGCCTATCCAGTAGTTGGGACTGGAGGCACATGTCGTCATGGTGGCCAGCTAATTGTTTAAATTTTTTTTTTTTTTTTTTTTTTTAGAGACGAGTTTCTCTATGTTGCCCAGGCTGGTCTTGAATTCTTGACCTGGAGATCCTCCCGCCTCAGCATCCAGAGTAGCTAAGATTACAGTTGCAAGCCACTGTACCTGGCTTGAGGTTATTGTTGGCCCTGAGAATAGTTTCAACAAAAATGGAAGAGACTGAGAAGTCCATAGTGTTCCTGGACCAAATTGAGGGTCTACTGCTATTCCTCACGGCCCAGTAACGAGATGCAGATGAGCTGGGGAGGAAGAGAGTTTTTATTTCTGTAATTATAGGGAGAAGGCCTGGAAATTATCACCAGACCAGCTCAAAATCACAAAGTATTTCAGAACGTACATACTTTTTAAGCTATATGTCTATGTGTAAGTGTTCATTCGTCTGAAGACCTAAGTGATTAACTTCTTTTAATCTGTAACTAAGGTTGGAGTCCTGAAGACTTTCTTCTGCCTCAGTAAGCTTACTTAATATAAATGGGTCTAGGTGCTGGGATGATTACCCTTCTGTTGTCACTTGCTAAGTCATGGAGGTTTGGGGAGTTCCTTAGACTACCAATAAATCTGTGGAGGCCTGGGGAATTTCTTCACACCCTCAATAAACTTGTTTATAACAAGGGAATGTAGAGGAGAAAAAAAAGGAAACAAAACAAAACAAACTTGTTTAACGTTATTGAGTCCTGTTAAGAATTCCTTCCTTATTTTGTCATGACTTAAGGCCCAGGAAAGCCTAGGGAAAACTCTTAATGGGCTTTTGTTATATTCCAGCCTTTGTATAAGGGCACTGGCTTTTTTAGCTTTTAATATTTAATTTAACCACTCAGTCAGTGCTGAAACAGTTGCGATGGAGGCCTGCCACAACAGGCTGAGCTGCTTAAATGACAGAGGAAGATGTAGGTAAGAAAGGATGTTATTAGCTCAGCATTGTCCCTGGGGATGCAAGAGTGGGATCCAGAAAACCAGGAGAGAACTTGAATGGGAAGAAAGACACAGCTCTGTCCATTAATTCATGAAGAAAGAATGGAAATGAGAATACAAGTCATTTTGTAAGTGGAAGCTGGAAGTTGAAGAAGTTCAGATATTTTGGTTACCATATACCTGTCATTTAGGAGGCAAAGCCATCCCTGAGGGAGGAAGGCAGAAGTTAGGTATAAGTGCATACCTTGTGGACATTGTTTTTAGACAAAGCATCTACAGAAGTCATATACTTTCTTAATTTTTCTTTGACTCAAAGGAAGGAAAGTAAGGAAGAAATGTAGCATTCTGCCTAACAAAGAAATTGGGGGCAGTTTTCTACCTTTAGGAGGTAGAAAGTAGTACCCTGAAAAGTCATTAGTGTGCAGTGCGTTAAGACTTCAGTGTAGCCTAAGTTGCATCTCTCAGTAAATAATATCACCTGTCTATCCAGAACACTGGGAGTCATCCTTGGTAACTCTCTCTCCCCGTTTCTCACATCCAATCCATGACAAATCTTGCTAATCTTTAGCTCTTCAGTATTGCCAAAGTCTGTGTACTTTTTTTGATGACTACTGCCTTTATCTAGGCCACCTTTATCTTTTGACTAGATTACTGTAGTAGCTTTAGTAAGTCTATCTCTCTGCATCTAAAGTGGTCCTTTCTGTTGCCTGAAGGTCTTCACACCTTTTACACAGCATCCTTTACAAGTTTATTTTGGCACAGTGTCTCACGCAGTAAGAAGTACATCATGACCGAAGTACACACATACTTTTATAGTGATTGAGAGTATAGATACTGATAAAGGTGCCAGGACCATTCAATGGGAAAATAATAGTTTTTTAAACAAATGCTGCTGGGACAACTGGATATCCATATGCACAAAAATGAACTCCTGTGGTACATAGTGTACAAAAATCAACTCAAAATGCATCAAAAGAAAGTGCCTGTTTCTGGCTTCTAGCCAGAGGCTTCACTTCCCAGCTATATATATATTTAAAAGGATTGAAAACCTAAATTTAAGAGTTGAAACTACAAAATGCTTAGAAGGAAACACAGGTGTAAGGTTTCATGACATTGAATTAGGCAATGATTTCTTCAACATTGTACCAAAAGCCCAAGCTTACCAAAAAAAAAAAAAAAAAAAAAAAAAGGAACACTTGGACTTTACTGAATTAAAAACATTTGTGCTTTAAAGAACACCCAAGAAAGTGAAAAGAGCTGCCGAGGTGCAGTGGCATGAAAATTAAAGAACAGGCAGCGGGGAGTAATCATGCCTGTGATCCCAGCTACTCGGGAGGCTGAATTGGGAAGGCTACTTGAGCCCAGGAGTTTGGGTCCAGCCTGGACAACATAGCAAGACCCTGTCTCTTTAAAAAAAAAAAAAAAAAAGGCCGGGCGCGGTGGCTCACGCCTGTAATCCCAGCACTTTGGGAGGCCGAGGCAGGTGGATCACAAGGTCAAGAGATCGAGACCATCCTGGTCAACACGGTGAAACCCTGTCTCTACTAAAAATACAAAAAATTAGCTGGGCATGGTGGCGCGTGCCTGTAATCCCAGCTACTCAGGAGGCTGAGACAGGAGAATTGCCTGAACCCAGGAGGCGGAGGTTGCGGTGAGCCGAGATCGCGCCATTGCACTCCAGCCTGGGTAACAAGAGCGAAACTCCGTCCCAAAAAAAAAAAAAAAAAAAAAAAGAAGAAAGTGAAGGCAATTCACAGAATGGGAAAAAACATTTGCAAGTTATTTATCTGATAAGGGTCTAGTGTCCAGAATATTTATAAGAACTTTGAACTCAATAGTAAAAAGGCAATACAATTTAAAAGTGGGTGAAGGATTTGAATGGATATTTCTCTAAGGAAGATAAACAGATGACAAATAAGCATATGAAAAGATATCCAACATCATATGTCATTAGGGAATTACCAGTTAAAACAACTATGACACATCTATCAGAATGGTGAAAATCAACCAGGCACGTTGGATCACGCCTGTAATCCCAATGCTTTGGGAGGCCAAGACAGGCAGATCACCTGAGGTCAGGAGTTCAAGACCAGTCTGGCCAAATGGCAAAAGCCTGTCTCTACAAAAAATATAAAAATTAGCCAAGCTTGGTGGTGCATGCCCATGATCCCAGCTAATTGGGAGGCTGAGGCAGGAGAAAGGCTTGAACCTGGGAGGTGGAGGTTTCAATGAGCCAAGATCGTGCCACTGCCCTTCAGATTGGGCAAGAGAGTGAGACTCCCATCTCAAAAAAAAAAAAAAAAAGTAAAAATCCAGAACACTGACAACACTGAATGCTTGTGAGGATGTAGAGTAAGATACTCTCATTAATTGTTGGTGGAAGGCAGAATGGTACAACCACTTTGTAGGACAGTTTACTTACTCTTACCATACAATCCAACAATCACACTTCTTAGTATTTATCCAAATGTCCACACAAAAGCCTGTACACAGATGTGTATAGCAGCACTACTCATAATTGCCAAAACTTGGAAGCAACCAAGATGTCCTGCAGTATGTAAATGGGTAAACTGTGGGGCATCTACCAGACAATGGAATATTACTCAGCACTAAAAATAAATGAGGTATCAACCGTGAAAATACATGGAGGAACCTTAAATGCATGTTACTGAATGAAAGAAGCCAATTTGAATAGGCTCCATGCCATATGACCCCAGCTATGTGACATTCTAGAAAAGGCAAAATTATGGAAAAAATGAAAAGATCAAGCCAGTGTGGTGTTGCACACCTTGTAGTCCCAGCTACTTGGGAGGCTGAAGCAGGAGGATCACTTGAGCCCAGGAGTTTAAATCCAGCATGGACAACATAGCGAGACACCATCTCTTAAAAAAAGGCCAGGTGCAGTGGCTCACACCTTTAATCCCAGCACTGGGAGGCTGAGCCAGGAGGGTCACTTGGAGACTAGCCTGGGTAACATGATGAAACCTGGTCTCTACCAAAAATTAGGTGGGTGTGGTGGTACATGCCTATAGTCCCAGCTGCTCAGGAGGCTAAGGCAAGAGGATTGATTGAGCCCAGGAGGTCGAGGCTGCAGTGAGCCTTGATTGTGCCACTGGACCATAGCCTGGATGACAGAACGAGACCCTATCTCAAAAAAAGAAAAGAAGAATCAGTGGTCACCAGGTGTTAGTGGGAAAGGGAGGAGTGAATGGGCAGAGCACAGAGGAATTTTGGGAGACAGTGAAACTATACTGAGTGACACTGTAATGATGGATGCATGTCATTATATGTATGTTAAAACCTTTAGCAATATACAACACCAAGAGTGAACTCTAATGTAAACTATGGACTTTGGGTGATAATGATGTGTCATTGTAGGTTCACTGCTTTTACAAATGTACCACTCTGGTGAGGAATGTTGATAGTGGGGAGAGTTATGAGTGAGGGGGATGGGGTTATATGGTAACTCTGTACCTTCTGCTCAATTTTGCTATGAACTGAAACCTGCGATAAAAAATAGTCTACGAAAAAGAAAAATAAAAAAAGAAAGGAAGTCCTAATACATGCTAATGTTAAAACATGTATGAACCTTGAAAGCATTGTGTTAAATGAAGAAGCCCGACACAGAAGGCCCTATTCTGTTTCTCTGAAATGTCCAGAATCAGCAAATCCATTGAGAAAGAAAGTAGATTAATGGTTGCCATGGAGTCGGGATGGAGGTGAATACATTGTTTCTTTTTTGGATGTTGAGTATGTTCTGAAATGAGGTAGTGGTCATGGTTACACAATGTGTGAATACACTAAAAAAGCATTGAATTGTGTACATTATGAAAGTGAGTTTTATGATATGCGAATTAAATTTTTTTAGAAAAGAGTTAATATTATGGTATGTGACTTATACCTCAATTTTTTAAAAAAGCACACAGATACTGAAGCCTAAACCTTATATTCAAATCCCAGTGTTGCCACTTACTAGCTTATATCTTTGCCTCAGTTCCCTCATCTGTAAAATGGGCATCAAAGTAATATCTATCTCATAGAGTTAACTTTTTTTTTGAGATGGAGTCTTGCTCTATCTCCCAGGCTGGAGTGCAGTGGCGCCATCTTGGCTCACTGCAGCCTCTGCCTCCTGGATTCAGGCGATTCTCCTGCCTCAGCCTCCTGAGTAGCTGGGACTACATGCGTGCACCACCACGCCTGGATAATTTTTGTATTTTTAGTAAAGATGGGGTTTCCCCATGTTGGCCTCATGCAGTCCTTTATTCTATGGTTTTTTTAAAGAGAGAGAAATGTTAATCAAGATCCACTAAGTTGGTTTCACAGCTCACTGATACTACTAATAAACCCTCTGTTTCTAATTCTCCCTCTGCCCCCTCACTAACTAGTGCTCATCCTTCTGAGTTTAGTTGAAGTTGCTTCCTCAGAAAAACCTTTCCTAATTCTTCAGACTAACTTACGTTTCTCTATTAATATTAGCTAATATTCCTATTAGCACCATATATTTCTCCTTTGGAATACTCATCACACTTCAAATGTTTTGTAAAATATGTCTTCCCTAGTAGATTATGTATGATCTTCATAAGAGCAGATTCTGTGTTTATTTATTCAATACTGTAGTGTTAGCATTCAGCAAAGTGCCTACCATATGATAAATGCTTAGTAACTGTTGACTGCGAATACAGAAAAAGCTGCATAGAGATGGTTATCAAGGTCCCATGATGTGTAGTTGGAGTGCCTACCTGGTGACAAAATAACATAGTGCTGTTACTATATTCTGCACTCATCAATGTGTACCTTCACAAAGGTACATCAGCACGTCCCTTCACTCCATCTGAAGACTCCATCTACTTACTTTACACTTTATTCATAGGACTAAGGGCTTCTGAACCTGAGCACTGTTAAAATAATTGCTGATGGACAGCATTAGGGGCACCTGTCACTATCTGGGTAGTTGGCCTTGCTGTGATACCAAGCTAGCTAGTAATGTAACTCACATTGTAGTTGTAGAAGCTGCAGACAGTTTGGCATTCGAGCACTGGGAGTCCTTTAAATTCTCCCTGAGTGAGAGTTTTGTTCTTTGAAATAGGAGAAGTCTTGGAAGATGCTACATTACATATTTGTTTGATTTTGTAGTAAGGTGGTACAAGTGGAGGGGATGATTCTTACCTCCCCAACTTTTGAGCCTATGTTTTTTTCAACATTATTTTTTTTTATTGTACAGATGGGGTTTTGCCATGTTGCCCAGGCTGGTCTCAAACTCCTGAGCTAAAGCGATCCGCCCACCTTGGCCTCCCAAAGTGCTTCCCAGCAGTATTGCTTCACACAATACAGGTGTGAGCCACTGCGCCCACTCCTGAGCCTATGTTTTTATTTAATGTTTTGATAATGCTAGAGGGACAAAATATAGTACACAGGTAAGAGACTATTTTGTATAATTTTATAACTTTTGCCAACTAATCTTGTCTCTAAGAATAAATAAGAAAAACTAAAACTCATTGCCTTCGATTAACTTTGTCTGGAAACTCAATTAGTATTTTCTTTTTTCTGTTATTAGAACTTTTTTTTTTTTTTTTCTCTCTGAGACTGGGCCAGGCTGGAATGCAGTGGCATGATCCAGGACTTAGGGGATCCTCCCACTTCAGCCTCCCAGGTAGCTGAGACTACAAGTACACACCACCACACACCTGGCTAAGTTTTTGTATTTTTAGCAGAGATAGGATCTCAGCATGTTGGCCAGGCTGGTCTTGAACTCCCGACCTCAAGTGATCTACTTGCCTCGGCCTCCCAAAATACTGAGATTACAAGTGTGAGCCACTGCTCCCAGCTAGGACATTTAAAAAGTATAGGACATAATTTTGACTTGTCTATCTATGAAATTTGTTAGGTTCATAATAGAGTCACTTATATCAAACCCTAGCAAAAGGGAGCTGGGAAAGACCAGGAAGGGAGGACTCTCATGCATCATTTGCCTGATAACAGGCACTATCACAAGAAATTTTTTCAAACTTCAGTTTGCTACATGAGTCACGCAAGGAGAACTAGTCACTTATACAGGAACACTTTCTTGACACTCTCTCTCTCAAACCCAGTCCACAGCTACAAGGTCCTAGCTTTAAGTTCAACATTACAAGTCCTACCTAGCAACTGCTGACACTGGCCAATGGGAACTCTTTTCAGATGCTGCCAACACCAGTGAGCGTTCTTTGAAAACACTTGTATAACTTCCTTTTTCCCCAAACTCTCACCTTTTTCTTTGTTCTCTGGACATATCAGAGGCCACTCTGGTTTCCATGTATGTCTCAGATTTCAATTCTACTTTTGTTCCCCCCAAGACGGAGTCTTGCTCTGTTGTCTACACTGGAGTGCTGTGGTGTGATCTCGGCTGACTGCAACCTCTGCCTCCTGGGTTCAAGCAATTCTCCTGCCTCAGCCTCCCAAGTAGCTAGGATTACAGGTGCACATCACCATGCCCGGCTAATTTTTGTATTTTTTTATTTAACTGGAGACGGGGTTTCACCATGTTGGCCAGGCTGGTCTCGAACTCCTGTATCATGATCCACCCGCCTTGGCCTCCCAAAGTGCTGGGATTACAGGTGTGAGCCACTGCACCTGGTTGCAATTCTACTTCTTATATATTATTCCCAAATAAAACTGTAAACTGTTTTACCAGAAATTTGTCTGTGTATAATTTTATTTCAAGTTAACATTATTTTAATGGTGTAATGTTTACTCAGGAACAAGGCCTGTGATAGTAGAATGGCGCACATTCAAGGCCAGAAGAGTAAGAAACTAGGCCAACTGAATCAGATTAGGTAAACACTAACCAACTGGCAATTCTACTATTTCTTCCTCAATGTAATTCTCTTTTCCCCCTTTCTCTTTTTGTTTCTTTGGTCGTCATCCCCCTTATCTCTTTCTACTTTCTGCTCTGTGACTTCTGTTATCTTTGAGAATTACAATTGAGGCTAGGTTCAGTGGCTCACACCTGTAATCCCAGCACTTTGGGAGGCCAAGGCGGGTGGATCACCTCAGGTCAGGAGTTTGAGACCAGCCTGCAAACATGGTGAAACCCCGTCTCTACTAAAAAAAAAAATACACAAATTATCCAGGCGTGGTGGCGCATGCCTGTAGTCCCTGCTACTCGGGAGACTGAGGAAGGAGAATCACCTGAACCCAGGAGGCAGAGAGGGTGCAGTGAGCCAAGATCACGCCACTGCACTCCAGCCTGTGTGACAGAGTGAGACCCTGTCTCAAAATAAAATAAAACGAAAATTGCAATAGAAATGTGTTTTGTTTTGTTATATAAAAATATAAAATTATATAATACCTTCATCATAATTCTGGTTATCCAATCCCTGTGTTGCAGTCCCTATGCTGTAGGAACTTAGTGGATTACTTATGGTAACGGCCTCCAAAATCTTTTTCACTGTTAAGATTCTCAATTGCTATACTACAGTTTTTAAAAGGACAACAATAAAAATTGCTTTGTCTGAATTATTTCACAGCTGGTATAAAGCAAATTACAGCATGGCTGAGAAGTTAGACTGGGGCCGAGGAATGGGCTGTGACTTTGTCAGGAAGAGCTGTAAATTCTGGATTGATCAGCAGAGACACAAGTAAGAATGCATTTCCTCACAGTGTCATTAATTACACAGTTCATTTCTTATTTTATTCTTTATCCTATGTCTAAAATGTAAACTATTTTCAAAATGTCGTCTGAGCAGTTCAGTTTCAATGTATAGGAAACCATCTATAGATGCTTGGTAATAATATTGTAAGAAGTAGCTGCAGTATTGTTTTTAATCATACACTAAAGGAATCCACAGTGAGGGGCCCAGAGCCATGAACATTTCTGTTCAGCTTATTGTAACTCATAAATATATATATATATTTACAAACATTTTGTATACTTTGTCATTCTTACTGTCTGATATAGATGTATGTATAATCTAGATTTGATTATATATAAATGACATGGGTCTGGATCATACATATACACATACAGTTGTTCTTTGGTAACCATGGAGGGTTGCTTCCAGGACCCCTGTAAAAAAAATCCATAGATGCTTATATAAAAGTTCCTTGTAGAAATTGTAGTAGTATTTGCATATAACCTATGTACATCCTCCTGTATATTTTAAATGACCTAGAGGTCATTTAAAATATATAATACAATTTAAATGCTGTTGAAACAGTTGTTATATTGTTTAGGGAATAATGACAAGGAAAAAAGTCCCCATGTTCAGTGCAGAAGCAACCATCCTTTTTTTCCTGAAATGTTTTGTTTTGTTTTGTTTGTTGTTGTTATTGTTGAGACAGAGTCTCATTCTGTTGCCCAGGCTGGAGTGCAGTGGCACGATCTCCACTCATTGCAACCTGTACCTCCCAGGTTCAAGCGATTCTCATGCCTCAGCCTCCTGAGTAGCATGTGCCACGACTCCCGGCTAATTTTGTATTGTTAGTAGAGACGGGGTTTCACCGTGTTGGCCAGGCTGGCTCATGCCTGTAATCCCAGCACTTTGGGAGGCCAAGGTGGGTGGGTCACTTGAAGTCAGGAGTTCAAGACCAGCCTGGCCAACAGAGTGAAACCCTGTCTCTACTAAAAATGCAAAAATTAGCCAGGCATTTTGGTGGGCGCCTGTAATCCCAACTACTTGGGAGGCTGAGTAAGAGGAATACCTTGAACCCAGGAAGCAGAGGTTGCAGTGAGCTGAGATCATGCCACGGCACTCAGGCCTGGGTGACAGAGTGAGACTCTGTCTAAAAAAGAAGTTAAATAAATGAATTCATACTGTATGTGAACTTTTGAGCATGGCTTTTTTTACTCAGCATAATTTTCTGGAGATTCCTCCCGGTTGTTGTATATGTCAATAACTTGATGTTTTTTATGGCTAGTTAATATTCCACAATGTGGAATACCACAGTTCGTTTAAACATTCACACTTTGAAGGACATCTGGATTGTTTCCACTTTTGGGGTATTGTGAATGAAGTTGCTGTGAACATTTATGTACAGGTTTGTGTGTGAACATATATCTTTATTTCTCCAGAAAAAAATGCCAGGAATGTAATTGCTGGCTCATTAAGTAATTGCAGATTTAGTTTTATAAGAAACTGCCTGGCCGGGCGAGGTGGCTCATGCCTGTAATCCCAGCACTTTGGGAGGCCGAGGCGGGTGGATCACCTGAGGTAAGACCAACCTGAAACCCTGTCTCTACTAAAAATACATAAATTAGTTGGGCATAGTGGCTGGTGCCTGTAATCCCAGCCACTTGGGAGGCTAAGGCAGGAGAATCACTTGAACCTGGGAGGTGGAGGTTGCAGTGAGCCAAGATTGTACCACTACACTCCAGCCTGGGTGACAGAGCGAGACTCTGTCTCAGAAAACAAACAGACAAACAAAAAACTGTCAAACTTTAAAATTCCTACCAGTGATGTATAAGTGATACAGTTTCTCCACATCTTTGCCAGCATTTGGCATTGTCACAATTTTTTGTTTAATTGATTCTGATAGGAGCATAGTGATATTTTATTTGAGTTTTAATTTGCATTTCCCTAATTGCTAATGATGTTAAACCTCTTTTCATGTGCTTACTCGATAATTATTTGTCCTCTTTGGCAAACTGTCTCATCTTTTAAGCCAGTTTTCTGATTGGATTGTTTTTTGCTGTTGAGTTTTGAGAGTTCTTTATGTATTCTGAGTATTAGTCCTTTGTCAGACATGTGGTTTGCAAATACTTTCTTCTAGTTCATAGCATATCTTTTTATCCTTTTAAAAGAGGCTTTCCTAGGGCAAGTGTTTTTAGTTTTGACAAAGTCCAGATTATCAGTTTGTCCTCTTGTTATGTCTTTGATGTCAAGTCTAAGAAGTCTTTGCCAAGCTCTATATCTTCAAAATTTTCATATTTTTTTCAAAAGTTTTACAGTTTTACACTTTACATTTAAGTCTATGATTCATTTGAGTTAATTTTTGTATAAGGTGGGAGACTTAGATCAAGGTTTATTTTTTTGTGTACATGTGGGCAACTGCTGTGGCACTATTTGTTGGAAAGGCTTTCTTTCATTGAATTGTTTTTGTACCTTTGGCAAAAAAAATCAGTTGGGTATATTTGTGGCAGATCTGTTTCTGGGTTTTCTGTTCTGTTCCATTGATCCATGTGTCTATGCCTCCATCAATAACACATAGTTGTTAATTACTATAATTATATAACTTGTGAAATTAGGTAGATTGATTCTTTCCACTTTATTTTAAGATTGTTTTGGCTGTTTCGGTTCCTTTGCATTTCCATATACATTTTATAATAATCTTGTAGCTGCTAAAAAATTTGTGGGGATTTTGCTAGGAGTTGCATTAAACCTGTATGTCAATTTGAGGAGAATTGACATTTTACTGTGTTGAGTTTTCCAATCCATAAACATGGGAGAAAACATTGTTTTATTATTATTATTTTGGAGATGGAATCTCGCTCTGTCACCCAGGCTGGAGTGTAGTGGCATAATCTCGGCGCACTCAACTTCTGCCTCCTGCATTCAAGCAGTTCTCCTGCCTCAGCCTCTCAAGTAACTGGAACTACAGGTGCATGCCGCCATGCCCAGCTAATTTTTTGTAGAGACAGAGTTTCACTGTGTTGCCTAGACTGGTCTCGAACTCCTGAGCTCAGGCAATCCTCCCGCTTCGGCCTCCCAAAGTGCTAGGATTATAGGCATGAGCCACTGTGCCTGGCCTCAGTCTTTCAGTATTAAATATAATGCTAGCTGCAGATTTTTAAAATATATGTTCTTTATCAAGTTGAGAAAGTACCCCTCTATTCCGATGTTTCTGAGAGCTTAAATCATGAATGGATATTGTCTTCTGTTAAACGCTTTTTCTACATAAGTTGATATGCATAATCGTGATTTTTTTTAGCCTTTTAATATGGTGGATTACGTTGAATGATTTTCAAATATTAAATCACCCTTGCATTCCTGGAATAAACCCCCACTTGGTCATGGAGTATAATTATTTCTATATGTTGCTGAATTCTATGTACTATTATTTTGTTGTAGATTTGTGTTTCTGTATTTGTGATAAACATAGATTTTTCTCTTTTTTCCCCAATTATTTTGCCTTTAGTTAATAGGTCTGGCTGTCAGAATAATTGTATTTTGTCAGTTAAACTTCATCTTTTTCAAATCTGGCACATTTTGAAAAACAGATACATCCTTCCAGTAAGAGAGATTTTAAAAGTAATAATAATAAAAACAAATTTATAAAATACATAATAATTATTACTAAATAAGTAAATAATGGGCTCCCCTGTCATACTTCATATTGGCTTGATTTAAATTATTATTCATGGGCAGGCATGGTGGCTTACACTTGTAATCCTAGCATTTTGAGCGGCTAAGGCAGGCTGATCGCATGAGTCCAGGCGTTCAAGACCAGCCTGGACAACATGGCAAAAGCTCGCCTCTCCAAAAAATACAAAAACAAGGTAGGCATGGTGGCACATACCTGTAGTCCCAGCTACTCAGGAGGCTGAAGCAGGAGTATCAGTTGAGCCCAGAAGGTCAAGTCTGCAGTGAGCTATGATCACTCCACTGCACTCCATCCTGGACAACAGAGTAAGACCCAATCTCTAAATAAATAAATAAACAATGTATGTAATAATCTGAAGCAATAAATCCCAGTATATAATGAGGTGTTTAGCTTGATTTTTATTTTGATTTAGTTCAAAATATTTTTCTTTTCTTTTTTTATTCAAAACTCATGTCACTTCAAGTTCAAAATATTTTTAACTTTCTCTTGAGATTTCTTCTTTAACCACTATATTATTTAAAAGTGTTTTGTTTAATTTCCATGTATTTTGAGATTTTCTAGCTATCTTTCTGTTAACAGTTTCTAGTTTAATTCGTTATTGGAAGAGAGCAGAACATTGTATGATTTCTCTTTTACATTTCTTTTTTTTTTTTTTTTTTTTTGAGACGGAGTTTCGCTCTTGTTACCCAGACTGGAGTGCAATGGCACGATCTCGGCTCACCGCAACCTCCGCCTCCTGGGTTCAGGCAATTCTCCTGCCTCAGCCTCCTGAGTAGCTGGGATTACAGGCACGCGCCACCATGCCCAGCTAATTTTTTGTATTTTTAGTAGAGACGGGGTTTCACCATGTTGACCAGGATGGTCTCGATCTCTTGACCTCGTGATCCACCCGCCTCGGCCTCCCAAAGTGCTGGGATTACAGGCTTGAGCCACCGCGCCCGGCCCACATTTCTTAAGATGTGTTTCATGGCCCAGAATGTGGTCTCTCTTGGTGGCTGTACCACGTAAGCTTGAAGAAAAGAAAATGTCCGCTGTTTTTCGTTAAAGTCGTCTGTGGAGTCAGTTATATCCAGTTTGTTAATGGTGGATTGGGTTCAATCATGTTCTTACTGATTTCCACCTGCTGCATCTGTCTATTTCTGAGAAATGGATATTAAAGTCTGTGGTGATAATAGTGGATTCATCTCTTTCACCTTGCAGTTCTATCTATTTTGGGCTTACATATTTTGACACTTTAGGTGCACACACGTTTAGGATTGTTATATTTTCATAGAGTAGGGATTCCTTTATCATTTTGTAATTTGCCTCTTTATCTCTGATCATTTTCTGTGAAAAGAAAAAAAAGTATGAACCTGGAAACCATCATTCTCAGCAAACTGACAGAAGACCAGAAGATCAAACACCGCATGTTCTCACTCATAGGCGGGTGTTAAACAATGAGAACACATGGACACAGGGAGGGGAGCACTACACACTGGGGTCAGTTGGGGGGAAATAGGGGAGGGACGGTGGGGGGTGGGAAGCTGGGGAGAGATAGCAAGGGGAGAAATGCCAGATGTAGGTGATGGGGAGGAAGGCAGCAAATCACACTGCCACGTGTGTTCCTATGCAACAATTTTGCATGTTCTTCACATGTACCCCAAAACCTAAAATGCAATAAAATAAATAAATGGGAAAAAAATAAAAAAAATAAAAATAAAAATAAAAAAAAAAGAAAAGAAAAAAAGTTTTCTTTTTTGTACCATCTTTCTCTAGTTTTTGTATCAGTAATACTAGCTTTATAAAATTAACTAGGAAATGTTTCCTCCTCTTCCATTTTCTAGAAGAGATTGTATAAAATTGCTGTTAATTCTTCTCTAAGCGTTTGGTAGAAGTCTCAAGTGAAACATCTAGGCCTGGAGATTTCTCTTTTGGAAGTGTTAAAATTGTGAATTATTATAAATTAAACTTCTTTAATAGTTGCAGGTCTATTCATATTATCTATTTCATAGTGCATGAATTGTGGTAACATGTTTTTTGAGGAATTGGTCCATTTTGTCT